TCTCTGCATTTACATTTCCATAAATTTACATCAAATTTGTGCTGAATCATATCCCCCCCCATGAAGAAGAAATGAAATACATTATCAATAAGTAAAACAAATTTGAATAATCTGAGAGCGGAGTGACTTTCCCTGACTCTTTTCTATTTAACTCCTTCCTTGGGCTGCAGTCTCACTCCACTCCTCAACCAGCGCGGGTTGGATTTTTCCCAAACCACCCCTGTGCCCAAGGATTTCCGCTTTTCTCCCACGGTACTTGATTTTCTAACCTCTCATCAGGAGCCCCAGGCCCTGCATCTCCCTCTGCCTCTCCTTTCCTTCCTCCCCTCCTCCAGCTCATCGCCCTTTCCTGCTGACATCTCAGTCCCTCTTCTCAGAACCCTTCCATCAGCAGAAGGAGCTGCACCTCTGCCTCCCGGCCCCTACTCGGTGCCCCACAACACCCAGGCAATCACACCCACACCCCGCACCTCCTCAGGATGGCAATTGCAGTCCCCAGCCTGCCAGGTTGTCATCAGCCCTACTCAGTCATATTGAGCACCTCCACTGCGTTCAGCGGGGAGTTGAACTTCCTTCCACCCCCTGCTGCCCGGCTGATTGGCAGCCAGCGGGGTTTAGGGGCAGCAGCAAGCAATTGATTGTTTGCTGCTGGGCAGGGAGGGCTCAGCAGCGGCAGAGAGAGGGCCCAGGAGCTCAGGGGGCTAAGAGACAGAGGATGCTCTGAGTCAGGATTCTGGCCAGAATCTCCTGTCTGTCTGTCTGGTGTCTGGCTGCCGGTCCTGGTAGGGAAATGAGGGATGAGACCCTTTGCAGAGTATCCCTAGGTTGGGGGGAGAGAGAATGCTTATCTTTTACAGAATTGAGGCCAGTGGCCCAGGGTACCTCAGGTCTCAGGGCTCTGCAGGAGGCCAGACTGCAGTGTCCCCTGGGATCTGTAGTCCCCTGCCCCTGGATGAAATCAAGAACAAAGGAAGGCATTTAGCAACCAGCCCACGGGGGGCTCCCGGCAGGACCTGTCAAAATGGCCCTCCCTTGACAAGAGCAAGAATTGGGATCCTTGGCTCATATAGAGCTAATTAAAAAAAATTATATATATATATATATCTCACTATAAGCCACAGTCATTATGAATCATTTTCTTCCTAGGCTCATCAGACTGAGTTTCTTTTTTTCTTCTTGGTGAGGAAGATTGGCCCTGAACTAACATTTGTGCCAATCTTCCTCTATTTTGTATGTGGCACGCTGCCACAGCATGGCTTGGTGTGTGGTATGTAGGTGCGCTCCCGGGATCCAAACTCATGAACCCTGGGCCGACAAAGCAGAGTGCGTGAACTTAACCACTACGCCACCAGGCCAGCCCCCAGACTGAGTTTCTTAATTCAGGTGGGAGAAAAGTGACTGGGAGAGGTGTGGCCATGAATATTGCCCCAATTGTATTGTTTAGAGAAAAACTGAGCCAAACATCTCTCCTGGAGATTTGCTTAGTTTCCTTCAGTGAGAACTCTGACGTTTTCGCTGGGGCAGCCAGAAGCCGAACTGAAAATGCTGTCTGGAGAGGTCGCATCAAAAGCTTTAGGGCTTTCCCGCGTGTCTGGGGCTGTTGGGACTTGGCTAAAGTCATCTTGCAAGTTAGTGGAGAACCGTGACCAGAGGTTTCGGTTTCTACCAAAAGTTCACGTCATCCTTTCTTTCCCAGTCTCTCCAGAGATCTTATGTTTTGTTTTGTTTTGTTTTTGTCAGTATTTGCTGGTTCAATTTCTCAGATTAAGCTATTTTGGAGTTTCCACATCTAAAACCCTCTCAAACTTTCAAAAGTGAAAAGCATCACTCAAAAGCATCTAAGCACTTTCTTTTAACGCTACATGTGCATAAAAATAAATAAATAAAGCTGGCCCTGGGGCTATGAATATGTGTAGAAAAACTGGGTCCCTAGAGATTTTTCAGAGAGCTGAGGGGATGTGAAAACAGAGGCTAAAGCCAGCATTTCAATATTTAGTGCCGGGGTGGCAAATCTAAGACAAGGTACCTTGTTTTAAACTGGTCCTGTGAAAATGAACTGTCAGATGTAGCATTTAATGCACTGCTTTTATCAGAGGTAAGGATAGTTGGGGAGTGGTTTTATTTTTTTCTTTGAAAAAAGTTAGCCACAATATAATTTGTTTATTTTTGTCAGCCTGGGCTGCTGCTGATGAGGTGTCTGGAGGCCTTCTGGTATAGGTGCCTAAAAGCTTAAACTGCATTTAATTATTATTATTACTCAATGTCAGGCTACATAAACGAAAAGAGATAAAACAGCATTGCTTGCAGCTATGTCGCCTTGGTTTGTGATTTCATCACATCTCACAGGCTAAGCAGGTTCGAGCAGGCACTTGGGACATGAAACCTCGAAGGGAAACCCAGACAACTGGAGATGCCGTTTCAACTGAGTTGGCACTTTCTCCACGTGCTGGGGGAGGGTAGAGGCTTGCCACTCTTTGATTTTCCTCCCCAATTTGTTTTTTAATACCTGAATAGCTGGCTGACTTTCTCCAGGGAAAGGAAGCAAATAGGGAAAATGGAGTCACACAGAGAGTTGTCTTAAAGGTACATGGTCTCTAATGTGAAAATTTTTTGGCTCCCAGAAGCTCTCTGATTGTCTGTCCTGCTGCCTGAAATACCAGTCAAGGCTCCAAAGCAGCAGCCGTACAGACAGCCGCAGCTAAACATGGAAACTGGAAGGGGCGGGCTGCTTTCCCACCTGACTGCCAGCAGAGAGCAAGGTGCAGACCGGGAGGCAGTGGAAGGCAGATGGACTAAGTTATGCCCACTCTTCCTACAGTCTATTTCATGGACAGGTCAGAATGAAACCAGATGGTCTGCCAGAGGGCAATAGATCGGCAAACAGTACCTTGCTTCTTAGCGTGAGACATCGGGCTGTTAGGAACAAGTGCTTGGCACTGAGTTAACCCTAGACGTTCAGCTCAGGGATGACCTTCTTTCCACCTCTTTGGATTAAAAGAAGAAAGGATCAAGTGGCCCATAATGGTCAGAAGAACAGAAGCCTTAGATGAATTCTAGCTCCTTCTTTTTCTCTTCTTGTTCCCTATAGCGTTAGTTTGCAAAACCTCGATGGCAAGGTTTGCAAACTCCTCCCAGACAGGGACCATGGTCTGCGATGTTATTGAATGTCCCCAGGATGAATACAGTATTTGTACGCAACAAGCATCGAATAAACATGCTGCCTAGTAGACTGGGTCCTTCTCCTCGCCCCTGGCCTGCCAGAATCTCTTGTAGAATCTTCTTTAGATGAGGACCCAACAAGCCATGATGCCAGGAGCTGTTGTTTTTTAAGGGCTGCCAAGGAGAGTTCAGGTCATCCAGGGTCTACATCAGTAGTGTCACCGTCTACATCAGTTACCACCCCAAACCTTAGCGGCTTAAAACAGCAAGTTTATTTAGTGCGTGATCTGTGGGTCAGCAAATTGGGCAAAGCTCGGGGGGTAGTTCTTCTGCTGGTCTCAGCTGGGCCCATGCACGCATCGCTGCTAGCTAGGGGTCAGTGGCCTCACTCACATTTGTGGCAGTTTGTTAGTTGTTGGTCATGAGTCCTTCATTGTCCAGCAAGCTATTCTGGGCTCGTTTCTATGGTGGTGATCACAGGTTCCCAAGAGCGTAAGCAAGGATAAACCTCACTGCACAAGTGCTCTGCAAGCCTCATTGTGTAGCACATTTGCAGACATTGCATTGACCAAAGCAGGTCACATGGCCGAGCCCAGAGTCAAAGTTACAGACAGCGGCTGGGACACGGGCAGGGAATAATTGACGCCATTTTGCAAGCAATCCACCACCCCAACAAAACAAGGCCAAGAGCAGAATGCAATATGTTCAGCTCCCAGGTGTGATGCTTCATTTTTAGGTTTCCAAGAAGCTGAAGAGGGCCCCTTGAGCCTGAAGTCCTAGTAGAGTCTCTGTTTCTCCACTTTTCAGGCCTCTGTTTCCTCATCTGATAGATGGGGATAACATCCCTCTCACAGGGCTGATCCAGGATCAACAGGGACTAAAAATAATAAATGTTGGCTGTGAGGCTCCCACAACTGTAAAATGCGTTCACGACTTCACCTACCTGCTCATCTCCACAGGCAGTGCTCCCGCAAGTATGGAAAGCTCACTGTTGGTGGTGGTCCATCAGAGGATTTTAGGCGGCACACGAAGACCACCTTGAATAATATTGACTCATGTGTGAGATTCGCCCGCCCTCCATTTGACGCTGTCTTGAACACCTCTCGACGCATGCTAAGCATCACAGAGCTTTTGGTCCTATTTAGAATTCAGTATTTTATTTTCAGTTTTTACATTTGCTTTCTATTTATGACAGCTGATAATTTAAGAAATAAATATAAATAAACATGAGTAGCTTTGAAAACAATGTTAAATGTATATAGCATGTGGTGCATTCACGCCCGCGTTCAACAAAAGCGTATTTGTGGACGACCCACTGTGTGCCAGGCCCCGCACCTGCCTTTCATCAGAGAACAAAGCTGACCCCCTGCCCGGGTGGGCTGCCACTCTGGTGGTGGGAGTCGTGATGGAGGGCAGGGAACGGCTGGATGGGGGCATTTGCTTCTTGCGGGGGACGCACAGGTGCCCGCCTCCAGCCCTGGAGCGCCGTAACGCTGGGGTCGGGAGTTTCCCGCGGGCGGAGACCCGGGCCGCCCCTTCCC